TGCTCTGATTGGCCAGCTATCCAGTGCATTGTGATTGGCCGAATACCTCAAGCGTGTGATGGAAATGTTACGCTCCTTACCATACTGAGATGCTGTGTCCCAGTGCGACGAGACAAAACCAAAAAAACCCATTACAAACGAGGCATTTGTTGCATCCAGTGGGGACATAATTACTGATTATAATGACATAAAGGCTTTTCACACTGAAAGCGAAAATTCAAAAAATCGAAACAGTAGATACCTATGGGGCTATTCACACTAGGCGCGATCATTCGCGGTGCGAAAAAGCAAGGATTTTTTTTTGTCCTGTGTGTCGATTTTTTCCCCCTTCGCTCCACGATGAAACGGGCCGTCCAATCAGATTTGAGCTTAGATCACATGCCCAGAGCAGCTGCTGGGTGAGAGTAATGGCGCTGTTTCGATAACCAGTGTAAACAAACAACGAAGAGTATCCCGGTAGAGAGAGTGGATGCTGAGTTCCTGGTATCTTTGGTATCTGAGAACAGATTTATTCTCACATGTTCTTAATATAATTTCTAAATCCTCCATTGAATTATGTGATCTGGAGTGTCCGTTTTCTTCCACGTGCGCGAGTGTTATGAGTCAGAGCGCATTCACTCTAGATCTTCCATATTAATAAAATTGAGGGAAACATTTTTCTACACATGAAATATGAAAGCAAACAGATATATGATTGTGACTATATATTTTCTGTATTCACATTCCCAGAGCAGCTGCTGTTGCACAAAAGGGTGAGAGTGACGGCGCTGTTTCGAAAACCAGTGTAAACAAACACCGAAGAAGAGTATGCCGGTAGAGAGAAGAGAGTGGATGCCGAGTTCTTGTTATCTTTGGTATCTGAGAACAGATTTATTCTCACATGTTCTTAATATAATTTCTAAATTCTCCATTGAATTATGTGATCTGGAGTGTCCGTTTTCTCCTTTGAGCACAGACGCATTGTATGCTACTCTGCAGGTTCAGGAGACAGTCTTCCATAAAATGCGTCACACAGCGTCACACACGACGGGCTAGAGTGAGCGGAGGACGGCGGCCTTGAGAACGGCGCGGCCGGCGGGCGTGCGGCAACCACATGTGACGACCCCGGGCTGGACTCCGCTTCGTCCACGGTGCAAGCCGATCCGGCGATCCACAGCACTAAGTTGATGATGTATTCCCTCAGCGACCAGCACGGATCAGCTCTAGGCATGACGAAGCGGATATCGTCCTCTTTTGGA